ATTCCTGCTTAATTGTGATCATAGTACTTGGATAATTTAACATTCAACCTGAGATTTCTGGGTCAAATCTGCAGAGGGTCTGGGCACTGAAAGAAATGTGAATTTTCAGTGCTCAGCCAGGAACAAATCTAACTTCCACTAAAGTCCAAGGTAAACATTCACATGGACATCATGGGGAGCTGTATCAGATACCACAAACTTAACCCCTCTATGGATTTTGTCTCTCGTATGCAATATCACTACTGATGGGAAGTAAAACCCCAATTGAATAATCATTTAAGGATGCTTTGTGCATAAGTCTACAAATGTAGAACTCTTTCTGGGATGCAGTTGAGAAGAGGTGAGGATTAATTCTGTAGGAGCATAGCTGGAGCTCTCATTTAATCCCATCTCTATTGGCTGTTTGCCTGTACAGGCAACATTTGTAGTCATACTGTACAAATAAATTGCTATTCACAGCTTGCCAATAGCTGTGACAATTATACACATTAGTGCATTGGAACCTGAATATCAAAGTTACATTCAAATTAATGCGACAGATTTCAATACACCCTTCAGATAATACTACTTGCCCTAAACCCTTTAAAACAGCCTTAAACCTATGAGTTGTAAGAATTCCCAAGAGAAGGTTATGTTTTTCCCACTTGTCCGAATATGTACATAGTTATTTTCTTCCACAAAGGATAAGATTTCAAATCTCATGCTGAGAAAATGTTTCTTTTGGTCATAATTACTTAAGCATGGTGCAGTTCACTTACCAGAAATGTTATAGTATGCACAATAATTCTTTGCAAGTTTTCAATAAAGTCATAGCTAATTATTTTGACTACTGTGACATCAAAGTTTTTTTAAAAATCCACTGGATTACTGAATGAAAGGCTAAAATAGGTTATGAAGAACAACACTGTATTCCATCTTTAAAGGAAACTCAGCAATTCTTTATGTAAATTAAAATACTCTGTTAGCATTATAAAAAGGAAACTTTTTACACTCCTATTCTAAAATAATCAGGCTATATGACATGTTAACCTATTAAAAGGTACTTCTGCGGTTCTGGGATATTTGCCAGAAAAACAACAACTACCACTACTTCTTCACAACCTTTACCAATACAACTATACACACACACACAGGTTTCCCTCGATTTATGCAGTAGACACGTTCCCAGGGAACAGCGCACAAATCGAATTTGCGTAAAGCGAACTCAGTTTACAACGAAACAGATAGGAATGCGTTCCCACAGCGGTAAGGGAGGGAAGGAGTGAGGCTGGGGCTAGGGAAGGGGCAGAGAGAGGGGCGCGGCACAGCCTAGTGGTTGCAAGCAGGCGGCATCTGATGATCCTGGGGCTGCAGCAGGGGTGACACCGGGCTCTTCGTGGCGCTCAAGGTAAGCAGCAGCCCCACTCACCCCACTGCTCCGCTTCTCCCCACTCACTGCAGCCCCTGTAGCAGCATCCCTGGGAGCAGCCAACGCCAGCTGCCTACAGCCACTGGGCTGTACCTTGCCCCAAATCCCCCGGCACGGTGCAGCCCAGCAGTGGCAAGCAGGCAGCATCCACCGCTCCCAGGGCTGCAGCAGGGGTGGGAAGCAGCCTGCAGTGGGACGAGAGCAGGCTGGAGCCAGCGGCTGCTGCAGGCTGGGGCCAGAGGCGGCACCAGGCTCTTCCCAGCGCCTGGCATTGGTGCTGGGAGAACAGGTTGCAGGGGGCTACAGAGAATTTTCGGGTGGCAGCAGCCCCCCTCCCATCATCACAGTCCACCCCGAGCGCCGGGAAGAGCCTGGTGCCACTGCCGGTCCCAGCCTGCAGCCACCACTGTCCCCCGCCTGTTCTCATCCCGCTGCAGGTGGCTGCCTGCCCCTGCTGCAGCCCTGGGAGCAGTAGACTCCACCTGCTTGCAGCGCTGGGCTATGCCGGACTGGGAGGTTCGGGGCACGAAGCAGAGCCCCAGGGAGTTTGGAGCACGGCGCAATCCAGTGGTGCTTGGGGAAGGAGATCCTCGGGGGGTTTGGGGCATGGCGCAGCCCAGCAGCTGCAAGCCGCTGGCATTGGCCACTCCCAGAGCAGCTGCAATGAGTGGGGCCCAGGCCCCATGGCCTTTTCCCCTCCCCTTACCCCTTCCCTTCACTCACAGCCATCTCCCCTCCCCACACAAACTCACAGACTTACCTGCTTGGGGGAGGGGGGAGTGTTCCTCTGCCAATCGCATAACAGCAAATTTACTTCACATATAACAAATTTCAGGTATAAAAAGGGTCATTGCATAAGAGCGAATTCACATAAATCAAACCCGCATAAATCAAGGAAAACCTGTATATACATACATACCCCACTGCCATGGGCAAGACAGCCCACAAATAAATTTGGTCCAGCCTGTGGGCAGGCAGCTGCCAAATCATTGGATCTGACCTATGGGTGGCTGGTAGCTGCTATGGCTTCGGCCACCACATGGTGCCAGAAGGGCAGGGCTGTTTCCGCCATGCTAGGTAAACAGGCAGGACTGTTTCCACCCAACAGCATCAGGTCTTGACACGGAAACATCAGCTCTGGACCTAGGTGGAGGCTTCTGCTGCAGCAGGTGGGTGGTGGTGTCAATTGCTGGCAGGTTTTACATTGGGACTCCAGAACCTGCTGGCTGTGCCCAAAGCTGATGCCACCGCCAACTCGCCACAGTGGAAGCCCATCTGTGTCCACATCTGAGTGCTGGGGCTCTTGGTGAACTACAGCTCTGGCTGGGTTCCGGGGAGGGGAGGGGTGGAGAGGACCTCAACAAGTCACCAAAACTAATTAGTTTTCTAGCCAAAATAATTGCCTGTCCCTGCCTTATTTCCAAACTCCTATGTACTCCCGTATCTAGTTCTTTGAAATTCAAATATACTGTATTTACTCAACTAAGATGAGTCTTCCCTCCCCTTCCAATCAGAATGGGGGTGGGGGGGGCGGGGAGACTCATCTTACATTTGCATACAAGGAAACCTCATTAAACGTGCTCAGTAATGGAAACTATGAAGCCAACACTGAGCATTGGGCTAATGTAGCCCACCTAAACAAGATACATGAAGTCCATCTCAGCACCAACTCTTTTTAAAGTCATTGTGGGCCGCTACATGGATTATATTTTTACTTCCTCTTCACTCTTAAAGATGAGCTGCACCTTCCTTTCCCTTTCCAGTCATTCCTGTTTCTTCACCAGCCTTAAGTGTCTAGCAAACATCACCAAATGGGGCCTAAAAAATTCACTCAAAATCTCTCTGCTGGCCCCTCTCTCAACGTGTCTTATATAATTAGTGTGGCCCTGCCCTCCAGGAGGTGAAGCCAGACCAGGCTTCCCCGTGCCTTATCTGCATATACATTTTTGGAGGATCCCAGGACAAGAACATCTCGTTCTAGCCATGAGTAGGACTAATTAGCACATGGCTCCTTTGTGGAGGTGGTCTCTGGAGTACACACATATATTGAGCTGTGCTGAGCCGCAGGGTCACCATGGCTTAAAATGCTGTTCACTCTGGTGGGGCTCAGCCCAATCAGCTATATAGTAAAACATGAGCCTTTTAGCTTTGGACTAATATTTGTATTATATATAAATAGGTGCCAAATTGTTGCTTAAAAGTGTGTTTATGGAGTACCTGTGCTGCAACTGGTAGCAGTTTAAAAAAAAAAGGCCACATCAACTCTGGATGAACTAAATTTATGGGTACTATATACAAATTACTAAAACTATCTTTAACTTTAAGGTCAAGTGTTTTCAAATTTGCTCCTCACCTCTATGTGCTCAGGGACAGCAGGGTCTGACAGTAAGGAGTGAGGGAAGGGGCTACAAGGGGAAGAAGCTGGGGAAGGGAGGCAGAAGGCCAAGGGGCTACCTGACCCTCCAGATCTACTTTCCTTGCTGTAGCAGTGGGGGAATGGGGGTGACATATTCAAGGCAGACCTCCAATAATTACATTCTATACCTAGAATTTGTAACAAATTACGTTTTCCATATATAAAATCTGTTATTGGGGGTTGTGTTATAATCAGAGTCATCTTGCATTCAAGTATATATGATACTTGCTGAAAAAGCAATAGTAAAGAAAGATATCCTCTGAGTCTGGGAAGTTTAGCATAAGTACATCATCATCCTACTTAAATAAAATAGTTTCCTGCTAGTGGTTTGCTAATTATAAATATATATGAAGTTGCTACTTATGTGAATCTGACATTAGGAAAAGTCAACCACAACAAGTCTATGTATTCTAGTTTTATCAGCGAGTTTGTTTTAAAATACACATACGAAAACCAGAAGTCAGCATCAAGCAGTTGATTAACTATAAACTGCAAAAACTGTAAATGCTCTCCACGGATTCTTTTTAGCACCCGTTCTCAGAAATAGCATGCACAGTTCAAAAATCTTAACACAGAACAATTCACTGCAGAAAGAAGTAGGTGAGAGCTTCAGAACCATTTTAAAACATTTTTTTAAAATCAACATTGTCTTAGTAATTTGAGTATTTGATGTGTTAAATGCTATTTTAGTTCTAGCTCAATTACCGTGGCTCTTTTGCTGCACTCTTTTGCCAGCCTTTTTTGCTGAACTCTTCAGCTCAAGAGCACTGCTCATTTGGTGTACCCCTGGAGTGACCAGAGGCAGAAAGAAAAAAAACAATAGTAAAAGGTATATAAAGAGACTATCACCTGTAATGATCAATGCAAAAGTCCATCCTTTCACTCTTCTTACAACTGCTATCTTCATGGCTTTAGCTAGAATTACATCTGGTGGCTGACAAAATTTTAGCTCATACAACTAAACTAATACTCTAGCCTGCAAAAACAAAAAAGGCAGAATTTCAGTAAACCCTTTCAATTCTGCAAACATGAAACTGTTTTGAAAGGAGTTGGCTGCATTACTCGTGACTTTAGGCTTGTGAAACATCAACTTTCTGTGGACAGGCTTTAACTTGCAGAAATCTTGCCCTCCAGGTTTTCCTCTTACACTGGTGTAATAACAAGAGTTGAAGGCTCTTACAAAGTACTTACTTTTTCAAAAAATTAAGTCTTCATATTCTTACTTGTATGACAAAAGCCTGCTATAGACACTGGATAAAATGAGACATCATACAATTATTGTTCCATACATCAGAAGACTATATACACAAAGTTTCCACAACTAGTTAGGAGCAATTCAGGCAATTTTTCCCGCAGAGAATATTCAGTTACTTATTCTAGTTTATTATAATTAATCAGGATTGCAATAGGATTACAATTCTATCTGAATATTAACATAATATTATAATAATTTAAAACAATTTGAGTTAACATAAACTAGAAGTTCTAAATTCAAATTCCAGTGAATAACAAGGACTCCAAGATAAAAAATGAGAGAAAGGTCAATAAAACAAAGCTACAGGGGGAAAAAAGACTACCACTCTACAATAAAAACAACAAATCCAGTTCTTCTGGCTCCAGATTCCACTTTTTAAATGAAATTGTCATTTTCTGGATCTCAAAAATTCCTTCTAGAAAATCTTTCATGAAATAAGGCAGTGGGGGCCAACTGTTTTGGCAGGCATGCCACAAGGTAAGACCCAGACCCTCCCTGCATGCCACACTGATACCCTTCCCCTGCCTGATATGTTGCTCTGCTTTCTGCTCCTTGCCCTATGCTCCCTGACTAATTAGGTGCTCTGTTTCCTGCTCCCTCCCTGGTCTGCTATGTCATGCACCTACTGCAGGTTGGCCACCTCTAAAATAGGGCAAGCACGCATTAGGAAGACAGATTCTCTTCCAGAAGCAATGTCAAAATACATTCCTGTAGTAAACGGGAAGAGGATCACAACATTTCTGCTATTCCTACACACATACCAACTACCTGATAACTCAATATCAAGAGAAGGACTGGCTGTTCCCATATACAGGCCATATCCTATTATGTTAGGAAGGTACTCCAGACAGTTATTTCATCCTCTCCCCCTACCAAAGGAAAGGAGCTCCAATACAAATGTCAGCACCAAAGCTTAAGCAAAAGTAGTTGAAACAGAACTTCCAATTCTTACCAAAAATATCCAAGCTCAGAAATGTAATCCACTCCTAGTTAATGTTTTTGAGGACAATGGGGGGTAACACAATTTGAAGAAAACCAGAGGAAGGAGAGGCAGTAGGCCAGGGCCAAGCTCACATTTTGGGTGTTTCCTGCATAATGTTATTAACTACTTAGTATGGAAAAAAAATCAAGTTAAACTGTACATATAAGAAAAGAAAATATCTGCCCCTACAACTGTAGTTTGTTTCCCTACTGACCAAGAGGAACTACCTGTGGCGCAACAAAGCTAAGGGACCACACCACTGGAATTCACACTATCTTGTCCCTTTCAGCACCTCTTTAATAATGTGGAAATCAGTAATGCTTCCCTTAGTGGTAGCATGAGATCAGCAGATGCTTTCTTAGATTTTGCAGGGAGAAGGGTTGAGCGGTGAATAGAAGCGTTATGAAATGACTTGTATTTTAAGCAGCATTATACGCTACACTTTAAAAGTGATGCGACTCTGTTACACTATCTGCTTTCCCCTCCCAACTTTAGTTCTAGAAAGACTGGTTGCAGTCAACATACACCTTCTGAGAATAGTGGAAGTTGTATCAGAACAAGTGCAAATAATACATTTTTTAGTCCTTTCCAAATATGTTTTATGCCTTTCTCTAGACTTCTCCAAATTCACTGAGATTTGGACACAACATAACTAGCTCACAGCAGCCATTTGAAAACTGAGATTTCAAACTCTCAATAGCATTCAGCACTGGCTCCAGCTATAACAGTTCAAAATATCATCAGATTGGAACTGAAAAGTCTATGCATTTCTTCTTCTGAAGAAAAAAGGAAGGCAACATAACAAAGAAGTAATTCCATGCAATTTTAAAAGTCTGATTTCTTCTCAATTACTTTTGAGGAAGGACATAAAGGAACTATCCATCACTGGATAATTGATAGCATCCAGGTTTAAACTAGTGTATGGCATTACGGCAATGGTTCATGAAGTACTAGTTCATATCACTGGACCCTCACAGCAGATGGATGCAAATGCCCTTTCCAATGCTAATTAGGATGTTTTCACCACCTAAGAATCCTAAGCTTGTTTTCCACTAAAGACAAATGACAAGGACAATCTTCATTGCATTAAAAAAAAAAAACCAACAACACATGCCATAATAATGAGAATAATGAAGAGGGGAAAAATCCACTTTGAATAGATTATCTGACTTCTCCAGAAAAAAAAGCTAAAAGAAGCCTATTTAAATAGGGACAATGAGAAGGCAAACACAAAAGAATAGACCCTGATGAGTTATATCCCGCTCACTCTGTACCGAGAAAGAGATCCTTAAATTGCTGGTGAACACATCTACAACAGACATCTTAAAATCTCACTGAAGACTGAACTTTAAAAAGAGCCCTTAGTAGTTACAAGATATACAAGTTGGAACAGGGGAGAAGGCAGAAATGTATTTCTATTCATAAAGTAAAACTGGTGTTTCTCTCTTGGTAGGAGCACAACTTGCAAGTTAGAAATAAAAAGTGTTAGTGCCTCCAAAGAACTGTCTTATTTGCAAGACACTGACAGGATCCTTAAATTTGGGATGGCATCAACTACAGTTCAAATCAAAATTCTCTGATGGATTAAATTAGCAGAGCTCCTTTGACTTCAAGGGAGCTGTGCCAATTTACACAAGCAAAGTATTTGTGGAAGGTCGTTCAAAGAGAGGATTAATATAGCACTTACCTATTTTAGCTGTATCTATGTAAATCTTGTCCTCAGTTCAAAGGGAAAAAAACTACTTGTTTTACTTTTAAAACAATCTTATTAGAAACCATAGACAGAATTGAATCTATTTTTAACAATAAAGAGCTGGCATCACAAAAGGTAACAACAGAAGTTGTAACAACTTTCCATTATGTAGCCACTATGACTTCTCTTAAATACAAAAGCCAGAAGATGATCCCAAGGCAAGCACTATACACTGAAAAGTGGCTGTGAAGCATGATCTGGGGTTTCATTATTACTCCTTCAAACTGAAGATCCAGATTAGTAACAAAAGTTGGTTGGAGATGAAGTCACAGTTCTTTGCATTTGGAACTTTAGAAAACCTTGGAATTAAAAGCATGAAAGTGTGTGTGCATGCATGCGTGTGTCACTTTTTCAGCTATCACTCTAACAAGCAAGCATATAGTTAGGATGTCTAGATTAGTTAGGTTGAAACATCATTATGCAACTCTCCTCGAACATACTGCAAGTGCGCACATCTGAGCACCTGGGTAGAATATGTAAGGATGGAGAAGGTTTTGAAATGCACCTGACTGGAAAATGTGAAAAACTATCAGTATAAAGTGGGAAATGTTCATAGGCCTCAGTAAACCGTGCCTAAGTTCACTCAGAAAGCTTGATGAAATCCTTTTTATAGCTTTTGTTGCTTTGGATACAAGGGGTATATATTTTTATAGAAATTAGATAAATTCTATCTACAGCTTCTAATAACATTTGATTAAATCACTGCGCAGGCTGTTTGTACTGACGCAACTGTACATGCCATCAGCATGCCTTCCATCGAGTCCCTTCTTGAACATCCTTTATTTGTTTTCATAAAGATTGTGGACCTATCTGAAGTCTTGTGCTTGATAAGTAAAGTTGCCCTTGTGAGCTCGTTTACAGAGAATGCTTTGTTATTACAGCTACATAAAAGAGAGACACAATTTTCTTGGGAGCCTTACATCATCAAGAAGCAAGGGCATAAACTTTAATTTCTCTTGTCAATGAACACAAGCCATGCCAATTTACACAAGCAGGGTATTTGGGTATTACACTTGCTCAAGAAATTTCCATAGTGTGGTTTAGCATTATGGTGGGGGCTGATTCCCCAAGTGAAAATTAGGATGATACATAACCACGCATCAGAAAACAGACTTGCAGCTGCTTTACGTTAGCAGACCTTTGGAAATTCTCACCAGCTGAGGACCTCTTACTAAAGTCTTAGGGAGACTGCACCTGACAAGTTTCTGAACTCTATTCCAGATTGCCAAAGACTTCAGAATACAGAGAAAAGTATGGCTAGGAGATCTGTGCCATTTTTTTCAGAATTGAAAGCAATGTGATGCTACACTATTTCTTGGATGCTGAAGATGAGCAGAACCAGCTTTCTAAATAAGCTAGAGTTGCAAATTGTGTCAGAGGGGCCTGCAGAGGTGGCAAGGGCATAAATATTAATTCTATAAATGGTGCCACAGGTGACCCCATTATTGCAATTTATCAACTTCAGCCAATTCTAAATGAATTGTTTGAGCCTGGGAATTTTACAAGGTATAGAAAGCAATGATACATGACAGCAATTACAAAGTAGAATTTATTTATACAAATAGGAATGTGTTAAACTCGCGCAAGTCAGCATAGGAATTATTTGGGAGCAAACTAAATGGAATAAACAAAATCCCAGACAAGTTCTGAGATGTATACTTGAATAACTTATAAATATGGTGTTTTCTGACATGTACTTATGCATCCAACTCATTAATGGTTTTATCTACCACTACAATTCTGGAAGAACTATTTGTAACAAGGCTTTGCAATAGTATTCACAATGTGGTGAAGGTCACTTTGACCTTTATACTAATAACTGGGTATCAGCTTGTACTGTATTACTTCTCTCTGTTCAAAAATACAGGTGCAGATCTTTCAATATAAGCACATTAAATTTCATATCAAATTCTGTGTGAACATGTCAGCAATGGAATTAATCAAAGCCTTGCCCACAGAATTCTCTCATGGGCATTATTTTTAGTCCTGCCAAAACTAAAATGGGCTTTCTACTTACGCCAAATGCAATGTAACACAAAGAGTCATTACTGTGGTTGATGATTAACTTTTTCAAATCTGGCCTGTGCAGTGATATAATCACATTATGAAAGGGGAGGGCAGAAATCAAAGTTGTATATATTGGAGAGATTCTGTCTCAGGAAAGTCTCAGGGAAATGTTGACCATTTTTTTAAATACATTTCTAGTTCATACATGCCAAGCACAGGAAGAAAACATTAAAAAGTTTTTCAA